TTTTGCAATATATCTTTAAATATGTACTTTAATTTTTAAACATCAAGGGAGGTTGCAGAACTAAATAATTGTAGCTTCTCTCCTTGAGGGTCTCATAAGATTCTGTGTTCTGGGCGTGTACTGAGAGACTGTGCAGTGGAACTCACTGATGTCTTCACAGTCATTTTCAACATCTCGCTAAGCCAGGCAATATAACAAAGAGTGAAAAATTGAAGGGGGTCTGAATACTTTCCGTACCCACTGTATATATATCATGATGCCCTTGCTAATCAATGGCTACCCCATCCTTCAAGCTCTTAAGAGTGCAAAACTGTATGGAAAGGCAATTTAATGACAAAAAAAAGAGAGAAAGAAAGAAAAAAGACTACCAGGCCGTATTACTTTAAATTGACTTTGCTCAAGAGTGAAGAACACAAGCTTGAGATGGGGAAAATAATCTGAAGCATTGAGAAGAGACAGATGGGGCAGCAGGAGTTTAATAAACATTAATACTGCTCCATTAAACACACACACACACACACACACAAAATTGAGTCTAAGCTTTTAGCAGAATGGCTAAGTGCACACTGCAAGACTCAAGCTTGTCGCCTTTGATGTTCAAGTCAGTGACTAGTCTGCGTCAAAAAGTCCCCATCATGATGCTCTTTTATTGTGCCCACTTTTGAGATGTGCTCCGACTAGAATGTGAATTTTAATTGACCCTGCAGGACTAGCAGTTTACTAAATTACAACTCGGAGAAATTCAACATGCAATCGCTGAACTACAAATTTGTTAAATGTAAATTAATACAAATTAAATGCAACTTTCTATAGATGACATTTCAAACAGTTCTTTTTGTTTGTCTGGCTGGCTGTAATGCCTATAAAACTTTCGATCCTTAAGATTTGTTTAAGATAAGACTTTCACTCACACTTTTTAAAGAACCTTATTTTTCTAGGCAAACATTATAGTTAAGACTTTTTAATTTGGCTTCCTTAAGTTTGCTCCCACAATTCATATTCAGGAATTCACAGCCCAGTAGTAATGCAGACTATCTTCAGTCTTACGGTGTGCCCTAGGCTTTATGGGCAAGCGGAAAAGGACATTCCTCATTCCTCTTCACTGAAAGTTGATTAGACACAGTCAGACCAAATGACTATATTCTGTCACAAAAGATTTCACAAACTTCTGAAAATGTTAGAGAATGTTATCAATCTGGAATACTGCCATCAAACCACTTGTGGAGTAATTTGTGCCTGACCTTTTTTTTTTTTTATCCAATTACTTTTCTCATTCAAGTAAAATTTCATGGATCCATTTGAATGATCAACAAAATCTGACTAGATTTCTGACTAGATTTACAAACATAGGCAGAGTTTCATATTTGTGCAGAATGGGTAGTCTCATCTCGATTGATGAGAAGAAATAAAATATCAAAAATAATACATTACCATTCAAAAGCATTACATATAATGCAAGCATCCAGTGTTTTAAGATGGTTATCAGATATTAATTTAGTCATAACTACACCGTTCTACCCACAAATATGTTCTACAAATATTTTAAGCAAGTCTGGATGTTTTTGAAGCCTTCTCGTGCATAGGGTCCTCTGTGAGGGAAGCTATTCCCGCATTCTTCTCTGCTGCTTTACAGAACGTGGCTGGAAGCCGGTGCCAAAGCCAGACAGGGAATCATAAAAACTGTGATATGTAGAACCCTGACTGAATATGAATGTTAGTCCTCTCTGTCATATTATTTAATGGTCTAACTGCAGATGAAACACGATTCAGCTGGGCTCCAGCACCACTGCTGTTTGTTTGCATTCCCCTGGGTGGGTTTTTTAAAACATTGCTTACATCATCTCATCTATATTTTAAAAGGTGACATCAAGATTGTCCATCATTGTTCCAAACAGCACAGCAAAATCAGAGGGGGACGTTGGACTTCATGTGGTGAGGATAACACAGAAACACAATGCTGCAGCATTAGTATTTAATATCTGGCACTTCTCACTCACTGGGACCCAACCGCATTATGGACATCTCCAGTCCAATGCTCTGTTATATCCTGATTTCTAGATTTTGGACTGCATAGCTTATGTTTGCTATGGTCTGGAAGACTTGAGGCACATGAGGATAGTCAGGCACCTTTTTTCCAGATGTTCCCATCACTGCTGCAGCCATGCAGCCACTAACATCCTGTTTTTCAAGATGCCTTGAACTCTGGGAGAACTAAGTCATTGTTAAGATACAGATGAGCGGGTTAAGTCAAAGGTTATGCCCTTCATGCAAAAAAAACAAAAAAAAACTGGAGCAGATGACAAAAGCCTCATGAGAAAGTAGTTTAGCAGCCCTCTTTTGCTCAATAATTTACTTGTTCAATTAAATATATTGGGTTGTTAAAGCTGACTTTATCAAGAATCTAGAGTTCCTTTGTTGTGCAAGTCAGGAGTGTTAGACATAAATGACATCTAGGGCTCAGCACATTAGTATCATATTGCGATGCAATACAACCTGTGGAAATAATTAAAACCAGAGATTTTTTATTTCCCAAGGCTCTTTAAATTTGGCTATTAAAGCTGCCATCAAGAAAAGATAATTAAGATAAAATTAAGAATTAAAGATAATTTATGATAGCCACAGCCCATTGGTACAGTGATGCCAAAAAAAAAAATTCAAGTACACTTTACAGATATATTTGTTTTATGGAATTGGATTCTGTTCATAAATCCACAATATGTTTATATTTTCATTAAAATGTAATTTTGTTTTTATTTAGTACTGCTTTGGTTGTAATTTTTTAGTACTGCTCTGAACTTATTTGATCAGATATCAAGACGAAATTAAATTGCATAAATTATTTTGTTCAAATGTTTTCATACTTTTCATACTTCATTCTTTCTTTATATTGTGTTGATTGAGCATTGTGACTGTTTGTAGTTTTTTCCCCCAGCATGCTCTGAACATTCAAGTTCCCCTCCACTATATCCATATGAAGTTAAGATCCAGCTTTGCCGCTGAGTACAGTTGAGGGATGTAGGATCTCTGTCTTCGAACGGACCCACTTACACTATTGAGTCACACATGAAACAATCACATTCCATTGAGACAAACTGAGGAACCCCTATGCAACCAGCTGCGGTCGTAAAACTCATGCAGGGTCAGTGAAGTGTTGAAGCAGTTCCTGTACTATCTAGCGTATCGTCTCAAGAGACTCAAATAAAAAACAGTGCTTAAACCCTAACTCAAACTAGGATACAAAACTATCTTTGTTTTACGGGCTTTCAAGGACCAGATGCGTGATACCCCTGACCATTTAACACATAAATTGCTAAATCCGATAAACAGAAAGTGACAGATTAAGAGCTCTCTGTCCAGGAGAAGAATGGCAGACTCCCAACTTGACATGGGCATGACCTCAGGACACCTCCCCTTTCCCCCCTGCATTCCAAAAAAAGGGACGCATCCTTTTACTACCTTCCAGAAAAGCATGCGTTTCTCCTGTCACAGACAAAGAAACGTACACGGACAATCATTGAAAATCATTGAAAGTATCGGAGCAATAGATTCACAAATAATATGTTGTATGTCTTATATATATATATGCTTGATGTGTTCATGTAATCGGTGCAACTTTAATCAGTTTATTACCCTTTTTAGGAAATAAGGCCTTTAATATGCGTGTAAGATATGTGAAGTTTAGTGTTGAACGTAAACTTGTGATAATTGCAGAATATTGAAATAAGTGAAAAGCTGTTATTTCGAACAGTATGTGTTGTACGACACTATATAGAAGTTATTAACAAAACCTGCAAATCTTCAGTTCTCCTCATAATAAATTGGAGCCTCTTGTTAATGTATGCACGCTCCGCCCTGCAAGTAATAGATTCACATTTCCAAATAATTTTGAATGTTACTGTAGCTTGCCTATTATTGTCCCATAAATGTTACCTTTCACTCTTAAAAATAAAGGTTCTTTATTGGCATTGATGGTTCCACAAATAAACTTTAATATTCATGGAGCCTTTAATTCCACATAATGCTCTTAATAGTGGAAAAAGGTTATTTAGATTATTAAAAATGTTCTTTACAATAAGAAAAAAATATATTATTTTAAGAACTGTTCACTGAAAGGTACTTTTAGGAACTCCAAATGGTTCTTCTATGGCATCACCTTCTTTTGGGACCTTTATTTTTGAGAGTTTTGTGCATCTAAAAACTTTCAGCAAACAGATTTCTTAACAGCCAAAGAGCATACATTTTTATTTATTTTACTTTTTGAATCTGAAGGATCTTCAGTTCCCATGGCATGATGGGAAAGCAAAGTGGTTTGACACTTTAAAGTGGATACAGCATGTATTCCAGGTATTGTTCGCCTGATAGCACACGCACATCACAGAGAATGTCTGTTTGACGTCTGCAAGATGTATTTTTTAGAGTGTTTGCTCATCTGCAATATGTTTCCTATCAGAAGTCAAACAGACGTTTAGAAAATGTCTTTTATATGTGTATGATTTAGAATGTATGTAAAACTGTCATCTTAAAAACTTCTATCAGATGTTTGTACACAGCAGATGCTTTCCAGATTGTTTTCCAAGCGATCTTTAACAGACATCTTGCAGACGTAGGCCTATGTGTGCTATTGTTTCATCAGTATTGTGTATTCAGACATCATGATCATTTGACATACTGCTTTTTTTAAAACATACAGTAAGTATACATATTTGGACACTGGCAATGTTCTTGGAGGAAGTTATTATTATCATAGTGAACTTTTGTAAGTGTAAGATATTAAAAACAAGGGCCAGACGACCCATTGCCGTTTAACCATATGGTTAACCATCAAAATCTGGCAGTAATATTTTGCCTTTGGTATTCAGTCACAGATGTCTGCATTAGCGTGACCTCAGGTAAGTTCCTCAGTTGTGGAATCATAGTTGAAAAAGGAGGAATCAAACATAGCAGGACTTATTAAAACAACTCTGAGGGGAGGGGAGGGGAGGGGAGGGGAGAAGAAAGGAGTTGGAGAAGGAGAACTCCCAGGCAAAAACTTTATCCAAGCTAGAGAGGACACTTGGAAGCTCTTTCAGCAAACTGGATTACACTAAGAACAGTTTTCTGTGGATTAAATGTTGCCATAATTCATTGGATTAACGATCACTGAAGGTAAAATTATGTGTTTTTGATTCTGACATATCGGGAATCTTTACGGCGTTGAGGATCCTTGCAAACTCCCTGGAGATATAGATTAGGTTTTCATCAGTTATTATTTATTAAAATATGACATTTGCAGCCTATTCCATACAATTTGCAAATAATTTATTAGTCAGTGTAGGCCTACTGTATGCATATTGCGTTTAATGCTTTGTGGGGATGCAAATGATAAGAAAGTTTTGTTCTTTAGCATAGGTTATATCATAGTCGATTTAATTCATTCCATCATTCAGATGTGCTGTTCACACCGTATTTAAGTGCAGTTGTCATTAACAGTTTTGATGTGACGCATATCACTCTGGTTTGTGGTAACCCACCTACTTATTGCATTGCAAATTTTGCTTGTCAGTTAACTTTCAAAGTGGAATTTAAAGGGCAGTTCTTTCATGTAACCCCCCTGGCAATGTACTTTTAAATTTAATACAGACCATAGTTCATTCATGATCTCTTTCTAATCCTTTTTCAGGACACACTAGGGTATACACAGGGATTTTTTTTTAAATCAGCCTGTGGGAGTGGGAAAAATGCATGCTCTATCTGATTATAAAACCATGCTGCTAATGCAGGGGGACACGAGGTGAAGAGACGTTTGCAACATTCCCATTTGCCAGATTTACCACACATACCCATCAATAATTAGGCTGAGTTTGATAAACCAAGCTTCAAGCAAACCAGATCCAGTCTCTGCCTTGAGTGAGAAGAAAGATGCTGCAAAAAAAAAGATAAGTGCTCCTTTGGAAGAGAATGATTGCAAAACAGCTGTAATTGAAGGTTAAACAGTGCTGCAGACATGATTACAAATGCCACAGACCCCATTATAAATCTCTATGGATTGCTCTCTGTTTGTTTGATGTGTCTAGCTCGCAGGTTCCTGTTACTAAATGATCTGTGCTTTCTGAAAAATTGGGTTAATGCACCAGGTTCAGCTGACTTTATATTTAACTTTTTAGGTTGTTTATGATGTCATATCATTGGCCTTCACACCAATGACATTTTTAGCACACTGCATTCCCAAAATAGTGATTTTAAGAGGTGTTTATAACCCAGTGATTAACTGACAGCACTATATGCGTAAAATAGGCATAAAAATGCTGCTTGTTGCTTGTTTGCACGGCTCTTAAGAGAGAGAGAGGGAGATAGTTTAACGCTCAGTCTTTCCCTGAGCTCTCAGACTCTGACATGAAAACTACATACTACTTGACAGCCTCCTTCCTGTCAGCGGTCTGCAAAAAAAAAATGACTGTAGACATTTTAACAATAGCTAATTAAAGCGATTGTTTATTACAAAATGCACATTGTCGCTTTTAGCCATTCTAGTAGATGGCCCCGAATTATTGTTTTCGCAAGCATAGATTGATTGTAACTATAAATCTTTCATTGAAACACTGTGAGTTGTCGCCCTGCTGCGTTTGTAACCCACATACTTGGTTCCCTAACTAGTGCTTTTGTCATTTCGACTATAGACATTCACTTCAGATTGCCAGGCACTGAGCCAAGACATAACGCAAGAGAGACTCTTTCCTTTATCTGCGTGGTCCAGCTGTTCTTGCTGCATGGCAAACAAAGTGAAAAGGGAACAAAACAAGCATAAGCTTTAATTTCCATTCCTTTTTCTGTGCGTGGAAGCGAATGGTAATGAGAAATTGCCCAGAGGCATTGAATACAGGTAATGGAGTATCTCCGCCTCGCTCACCTGAAATGGATGTTGTCTTATTTACAAGAACACAGTTGATTTTGCAGTGAGAAGCAAGCTAGAGCTTTGTAAATAACTGAATCGGAATGATTCAAACAGATGTGTGGGCGGCCGGTAAGAGAAGGTAGAACGTTTCTCATCTTCAGGGGATAGCGTATAATCTGGGGTGGTGTTATTTCACATGACACCTTCACTTTTTGTGTCTCAACTGGTACAGAGCCTGCAGGTTGTATGACCTCAGTCGGAGGATGCAGATTAGGTGTTGTCAGCACAAACATCACCAATGGGCTGAAATTTACAAGAAAGCCATAAAAGGAAGAGGAGAAGACCTTCCCCCCTCGGGCTTTCTCTGCAGGTTGTATGACCTCAGTCGGAGGATGCAGATTAGGTGTTGCCCGCACAAACATCACCAATGGGCTGAAATTTACAAGAAAGCCATAAAAGGAAGAGGAGAAGACCTTCCCCCCTCGGGCTTTCTAACTAATGCATCACCCTGACAGGTTCATGTCCAGACATGCCAGTGAGGGTTACTTTGAGCAAGCAGCATGTCTATAAATGGGAGTGAGGTGGGGTTGTTTCTGTGAACACATGTAACTATATCTGAGACATTTGGTTGCATTTCTTTGTTGCAAGCAGTTAAATGTTAAAGGCTCTTTTATTTTATGGCAAGGAAATTGTTTTTGTTTGTTTTGTTTGTTTGTGTTTTTAGCATCCTGTATCAGCTATTTTGTTATTCTGTATGATATTATTCCTTACTACTCTCAGTGTCTGTACACTACCATTCATAAGATTGGAGTTAGTACGTTTTTTTTTTTTTTTTAAGAAATTAATATTTTTGATTAGCAAGGGTGCATTAAATTGATAGTAAAAGTGATAGTAAACACATGATACTGTTCTTTTGAATGCTTTATTCATCAAATAATCCTGAAAAATATGCTAAAATATTAAGGAGCTGTTTTCAACATTGATAATAACAATTCTTGAGCTTCAGATGAGCATATTAGAATGATTTCTGAAGGATCATGTCACATGACACTGAAGACTGGGGTAATAATGCTGAAAATGAAGCTTTGCATCACAATAATAAATTATATTTAAAAAATATTATAATAGAAAAGAGTTGTTTTAAATTGTAATAATATTACACAATATTACTGTTTTACTGTATTTCTAATCAAATAAATGCATCCTTGGTGAGCATGCAAAACTAATTTCAAAAACATTTTAAAAGTCTTACCAAGCCCTAAGCTTGTAGTGTACTCTGCATAGCATGCATATTTTCTTGTGAATAAAATACTTGGATGATTTGATGTATGCTGTATCCCACAATGCAGTATGTTCTACTTTTAATATCAGCTGCACATTTTAACGTGTCTCTCTTGACTCAATTATTTGATTTTTACACAAAATGGTATTAAAAATGCAAATTAACCATTTTTATTTCCAACATGAAAACTGGATGCCACTTGAAAGAATTAAACCTGAAACAGATGAGTTCATGCACGTTTATAGTGGATAATGGCTTCTGTTTCACACACCACACACACACACACACACACACACACACACACATATATATATATATATATATACATAGGCAGTATACAGCGTATATTCAGCATTCATTGTGCTGAACCATTGTGTTGCTGTTACTGAGAGGAACAGATGGACACAGTAATGATAATCGTCAAATGTCATGGGTGACAAAGCTTTATTGGAAATTCTTTGGATCATTAGCATAATTTATACTCTAAAAAAGCACCCATCCAACCTAATAGGCACCATTATTAATCTGGCTTTTAACCGCTGTATTGATTATGACTGCTCCCACATGCTTTCTGACACTTTCCGGCAATTATTTAGAAGCTCTTTTATTGCAGACTTATGGTATTAAATATTAAAAAATGGCAATGTGTCATAAGGTGTACCACTGAGAATGAGCTTATAACAATATTTCTTAACACACCTGTTTCCTGATTATTTATGTTTGTCTCGGTCTGCTTAAGTAATTTCCTTCTCACCTGTTCACTTATTCTTTTTAATCATGGCTAGGAGCTGAAGGAGGGAGTCATGAGGGTCATCTGCTCCTCTCTGGTGCTTCTCACCATCTGCTTGGGTCACGGGGGTCGACTGGCATCAGTTGAAGGTAAGGCCTTTTCTCCAAATCAAAGGATGACTTTGTCAAAGGCTAGATCAAACAGCTAAGATTATGTATGTTTAATTCATACAACTGCCAACATGACATTATGAATATTTAAAGAATAGTTAAAGGGGTTGTTCAGCCAAAAATTAAAATTCTGTCATCATTTACTCATCCTCATGTCATTCTAAACCCATAGGATTTTTTTTTCCATCTATGGAATATAAAAGGAGAGATTTTGAAGAAATGTTCTGGCCCTTATTGTTAGTCCCCATGGAGACTGACACTTTCAAGCTTCAGAAAGCAATATGCTTCGAAAGCACCATAAAAGTGTTTAATTCAGCTTGTGAACTATATTCCAAGTCCTTCCAAATCAAACCATAGTTTTGTTTCAGAAACAGACAGATAGAGAACTGAACTCGAGAACCACTGTGAATGGATCAGTGAATCTGTTTAACTCAAGTACCAGTTTGATTCATGGACAAAGCATTCAGATTGGTTTGTGAACCAGAGATTCATTGAAAATTCATGTGTCACTGCTTCTCTTAAGAACTCGCCTAACAAGCAGATGTCAACATTAATAATTTTTCACTATCATGGCTTCAGAAGATTTGAAATATAAGTTGTAGGGCCACTTTTATAATGCTTTGTTGTGTTTTTGCATATTGAAGCTTGAAAGCCAGCATCATAATTGCAAGAGTGACTAGCTTGATTCTTTAAAATAAAAATTGTAACATTTTTATGTTCCATGAAAGAAATAAAGTCATATGTTTTGAACAACATAAGGATGAGTAAATGATGACAGAATTTATATATATGTTGTGTGGTGGTGGTGGGGGGCATCTTCCAAACTAATCTGAATGCTGACTACATATCATTGGTTAGCTGAATTCACTCTTTAGTGAAGCCTTCTGCGAATACATCTGCTGTGTGCTGAACGTATAGGATCTGTACATACAGTAGACGACTAGCCAAATTTGAATTAACCCAAAGTAATCATTGCTTCTTCTCTTACAAATTCCTTTCAATTGGTGTACTTTTATATAAGGTCTGGTAATACTTAAAATAAAAAGGGAGGATACAAATCCTAAAAGAACAAGGAACTCTGGAAAATGGCTCAGCTTTTAAAGAGTGATGCCATGCCTTGTTCTCTAGACTGCCAGTGCTGTGTCCCAAAAATATGGTTATGAAAATTTGGGACCTTTCCATCTTTCCCCCTTACTTTCTCATACAGCAGAACTGAGTAAGTAGTAAGGGGGTCCCGATAGTATTGCAGTGAGACAAGACATTGATTATTTTTTTTATTTTCAAATTGCATTTTGTATTCTCATTGTAATTAGGCTCTTTTTAATGAAGTTTCAGATGTTTTGAAGGCCATCGTACTGGAACTACTGGCTAAAGGCTTCATACAAGACTGACTCGTGCTCTATTATTTTGGGAAACATGTGAAGCTCTGCTTGTTTAGAGGCTTTGTAAGGACTTTAAAGAAACTTTGTAAGGACTTGTCCTCTATCATTCATCACTTTATACTTTTAGAGCATGTTGTTTTTGCGCCTTTGCTTGTTAGACGCTTCTCAAGAGTCTCTGAGGGCTTTAAGGCAGGAGTGAGAAATGTCAACACTTCTAGTCTTTTATTATATTATATAATAATGTTTTATCTTATTATAATAATGCAAGTCTGACTGAATGTAGCCACTCTTCTACTGAAATGTGAGCATATAAACCCTGTTCCCATTAGTGCTTCTTATAACAAAAATAGTTGCATAGTTTAATAGTATGATTATACTGCTATGGCTAAACCTCTTTTCAGACATTCTACAGTCAGTTAAGAATGAGATTTAATTGATGAATTCTATCAAACCACATTCGGTCATTGTTAAAGTCTACATGAAATCAAAATGAATGCTAAGTGCTTACTTCACGCATGTTCAGAAATATTATATTCAGACATTTTTATGTGACTTTTATATGTCTTCTTTCTTGTGCATTTCTGTTCTGATTGCACCATTTGCCATTTCATCACCATGTAAAATTGTGCTCAGAAGTGATGCATGATTGAACAAGCTAACAAACTAACCCCCACAAAACCTTTTCATATATTCAGCCACCTCCAATTTCCCTGGGTTTGTGTTTCACTGGGTTGATGTCAGATCTCTAGGATGACTTTTCTCACCCCCAGCTGTTCAAATCCCCAATTGACTTTCTCCTTAATGAGTTTCTCCAGGCCAACTCTGAGACCTAAAAATATACAATAAACAATATGCAATCAGGGACAAATAGAGCAGAGGCTGTGTGAGTGATTCTGAACAAGAGTAGGATGCAGTGTTTCACATTTATGAGCTTTTGAGATAATGTTAATGAGGAGACGCATTTTCTCCCTCTTTTCTTCCAACTTTTTTTCTTCTACCCTTTTTTAAAATAGAGGTTTCATTCTTCTGGCAAGGACTTTTTATTTCTAAGAACCTCAAATGTGTCTAACAGTCTCTGGTGAAGCAGCCCGTACAGGTACGTATCTCTAAATTAAAATAATGCTGAATCTTAACCTATGAAATCCTAAACCCCAGAAATATTCACTCCACTTCAAACTCTAGCACTGTCTGCATTGCTTGATGACGTGTCGGTTCTCCATGCGTCTGAAATGCACTTCTCCTCCCCTCGCATTCAACTTTCCATCACTGCCTCAGGAGCGAGAGCCGCCTCCAGCTTTTCTATCTTCTCCCTGACATCTCCACATCTTAATCCCGCCTGTTTGCCGTGTGAAAGCAGTGGGGCTTTGTAGAACCGGGAAGAAAAGGGATTTAGCCGAGTCTGTCTGATTTCAAAAAGTGAAAATGCGAGAACAATTCAAAATTAATTCTTTATCTGTCAGAGAAGTTTTTGTTGGAGACATTTCCTCCTTATCTGTATGTGCTGAGTTAGCTGTGGAGAGATTCAGGTGTTGTAGATTGCGGTCTTCGGTCACTTCTGACTGGAGAATTTTGCATTTTGAATTTTTAAAAATCATAGCTTCACCAGAATGGTACAAAACTTGGTGACTTTTATGGCATTTGGTATGTGAACACAAAAAAAAATTCAACTATAATGTAGTAAAAAAGTGGACAGCAAGGAAGGGGTTACACTCTAAAACAAAACAAAAAAATCTGAGAATTTTTGTGTGTACAATCTACAAATCTGCCACAATGCAGAAAAAAAGTACACAGCAATAATGGGGTGAAACACTAAAACATCAAGAGTGCAAAACCAACACATTACTCACACACACACCCGTACACACACACCTATGAACTGGTGTGACTGTAACACAGCAAATATGTAAAATAAAAGCAATAATTCAACTACAATGCAGTAAAAGAAGTGGACAGCAATGAAGAGGTTACACTCTAAAACATCAAGAGTGCAAAACAGACACACACACACACAAACATACACAATTATACACAATTATACACACTCAGATTAATTGGTATGGCTATAACCATATAGCCAAAACGAGTCAGAAAACTGAAATAAGAGGTTGAAATCAGATCAAACCCAGAAGGATTAAGCTCTGATAAAACATTTCTGTTAATTTTTGTTACATTTTTATAGAATTTTAATGTTTTGTGTAACAAAATGCTTTCTGTGTTCAGGTTTGAATGTAGTAATAATATGCAAAAACCTACAATTCAAATCAACATTTAAAAGAACAAAGAATATAAACCTTGACATAAGTAATATTTGAGAATGCCTTTATTTAAATCCACAATCTAATAAAAGTAAACAATTATGTATAAAAACAACTAGGGAATTCACAAGCCTCTCTATAGAGTCCTATACAGGAATCTAGTGGTTACACCATGAAATTACAGGTTTTTCTTTTTTTTTTTGCTCTCACCAGGAGGTGCTATTCTGCCTTAAAACATTGGATTTTAAAGGCCTAGTCTCTATTTTAATCTGAAATACTGCAGTAATTGAAAAATAATTGTAAACAATTAGAAAAAAAAAATTTGTACTATTTTCAATGGGAAAAATGTATCATAATTATTGCAGAAATATTAATTAGTACCATAAAATGTTCTCAAAATACAAAATAATACAGAAAAAATATTATTGAACAAAATATATATTCGATTTATTTTACTGAAGAAAAAAAATTACATTTCAGGTGTCCGGTCACTTTTGACCGCGAAGACCATGAGTATGACTCCCAAATGAGGAGCGCACAAGGGTTAAAAAGAGCTATTTGTAACTTGACAGGGGAGGAATACGAGTTAGAAAAGCCATCACCAGCTCCTCCGCCACTAGAAGCTCAACGAGACGGCTCTGAGCTGCTTCTCTCTGTTATTGCTTGAGTTTCTCATACTCATCTGATCTGATCACATTGATTGATGTACATGTCTTTGAACCAATCAAACCGTGCTGATTAAAAACTCTTCTTGTCTCAGGCACCTTTGACATGCTTCTTCACAAAGAAAAGCATTTCCCCCCCCCAATGCCTTGTCCTAAACTGAACTTTTCAGTGTTTGTGGATCATGAAAAAAGGCATGGAAAGATATGTACAGAATCATAAAGAATGGATTTTAAATGCAACATCTCCTTCAAAAAGTTGTTTACATTAAGTTGCACAATAGTTGTGTGCAAAAAAGTTATGACTTATCAGTGAAAATGGATGGTGATCATTTGCTGTCAAAATCAGATTTTCTTTGTTTATTTAAAAAATATATATATTTCTATTATGAATATATTTATGCACAATACACACACACACACCCAGGGCACCAACTGAGCCAAAAAAGATGTGTGACATCCTTGCTAAAAGTTCAAACAGTTGAATTCAACAGGATGTACTATACCATAGGATGTACTTTGGCTGAACTTTTTTAAAGTTAGGTCTTTTTCATATGTCGTCCATCAGTCGAGAGTGCGTCAGACCACTTGTCATTGTCTTTGCCACCAGGCAGTGAGATTGGGAGAGTGATTCTTCCAAACAAGAGCATGCTATTTTTAGCTCCATATATATCTTAGATGGTGTCTGTCACACCTCAGACAATCTTTGATCACCTCAGCTTGTTCAGGACCAAGTTTTGGCAGGACTCCTCATGATCGGTTGTGCAAGTTGTTTTATGCTAAACCTTTCACCGGTGGCAGGACAGAGATCTGCTTCAACTTGACTGCTTCTCTGTTTCTACAGGTGTCAGCTGCCCGTCCGTACAGGTAGAAGAATGGAAGTTTCCTCAAACTGCCAGACACAACATTACAGGTAAATACTGCTGCTAATGGACATCCCTTAAAGAAACTTCATAATTTACTCACCTAAAGTTGTTCAATACCACATGATTTTTTTTTATCTTCTGAGGAACACAAAAGGGGATATTTAGTTGAATGTCCAATGTGTTATTTTCCATACAACAAAAGTGAATAGTGCTGGAAGGTTGTCAAGCTCCAAAAAAGACAATAAAAGTAGTCTATATTACTTGTACGCTATATTCCTAGTGTTTTAAGATGATAGATTTGTATGAGGAACAGACCAAAATTTAAGTTATTGTTTTTAGTAAAAATATGGGGTTTGAGTTACTGTAAATGAGTAGATTAAAACTTTAATTTTGGAGTGAACTATCCGTATTGTCATGATTTCTATAATTGCATAATGCTTATCCACTATTTAGGGGCCATTCGCACGCAGGACTTGCTCTTGCATTCTGTGATGCTTTTTTAATTCAATTTAATTATTTTTGCAGGTAATACATTAAGGGCCCTATCATACGGCGCAAGTGTTTTAGCCCGACGCAGTTCTCATTTTCCCATCCTGTGCCGCGTTGTTTAAATAGCAAATGCATTTGCGCCCATTTGTGCGCCCATGGGCGTGCTGGTCTAAAAAAAGAGGCGTGTTCAGACGCATTGTTGGCGTGTTGCTATTTTGAGGAACTGAAAATAGACAGCGCCATAGACCAACTCAAACCTGGTCTAAAGTCCGGCGCAGTATTTTTTCTTTATTATTTAAAGAGCACGCTAGCAATATGCCCCTATAGGCAGGTCCACAACGCGCATACACTTTGCTTATTACACACACAGGGACGCGCAGCAGCACACAAACATTTTTAAAAATGAAAAATTACATTCCGCCATGTAAATAGCGAACCTGGCATGGCGCGAGCGCAACTGGCTTTTAAAGGGGATGGGAGATGAGACTCTGATTGGTTTATTGCACATTATGCCCAAAAAACACCCATTACTCATTAAGAGAATAGGGACAACCCGTTTAGACTATGCGCCCGGGTTCGCCGACCGTTTTCCCGTCGTTAAACTAGCAAAAGTGGATTCGGACACGCCCTGAGTGCACCTGCGCCATGCGCTTTAGACCATGCGCTTAGATCGTTCAAATAGGGCCCTATAGAAGGTTTGACAATTGCTTTCAAACTTTGCAAAAAAAAAATACAGTAAAAATGGTGATATTATAAAATAATATTACAATATTAAATTACTGTTTTCTATTTTAATTTATTTTAAAATGTAATTTATTTTTTTACGGAGGCTCTAAGGGGGACATGGTGATGAAAAAAAAAACGAGATGGTAGGAAAATTTTTTTATTTTCTCAGGTTTTTCTTCCCACCTCATATTATTGCCATCACAAACGTTTTAAAGTGTACACAGTTTCTCAAGGGTGCACACAAGCATTAAAATACACATTTTTCTTCCATCTCATTTTATTTTGCATCATCATGTCCCCTTAGGGGCTCCATGATTCGTGATATTAAGGCTGAATTTTCAGAAGCCATTACTCCAGTCTTCAGTGTCACATGATCCTTCAGAAATCATATTCTAAATTTGTGCTATAGAATTATTTCTTAATTTTACCATTGCTGGCTTCTATTTTCTTCAGCTTTGAGTGCAAAACACAAACACCGAAGTGCCTCGTTATTTTGCATAGTATATCCAAAAAATGGGAAAGAAGCTCACTCTACATAATTATGTGAATATACTGCCATCTGTAATCATTTAAGCCTTTTAATACACTTAATAAAAGCCCAACTGCCCATCAAGTCAGTCTAAGGAACAGACTCTGTTCATGAGCTGAAAGATATAAATGCTCCCAGTGTTAAGTTAAGGTCCCTTCTTTGGCCTTACATGAATTGAAAACTGGCACAGCAGAGTTGATACACAGCATAGGACATGTCAACTAGCAGCTCACTGATTTATTATCATGTGGGGTGGTAAATGGATTGATTGCCCGATCTGCAGGTTTCAATCTGGCGCGCCGTTTCTCCCTGTTGAAGAACAGCGAGGTCAAGAAGATCCGAAACCCGAGAGGGCCTGTCATCCTGCGCCTTGGGAAAGTACAACTCATCCAACCTACAGAGTAAATTTTTTATCTTTTCTCTTTTGTTTGTCCTAGTATCTATTTTTCCTGAGAGATTCTAAGAGGGTCAATTATAGAAATAACTACATTTTCACTCTCTCAGATGATGGAGCCTGTTCATTCTGTATCTAAAAGCAATACAACATAAAGTACAATAAGACAAAATTGCAAAACTACCAAGGTATTCTAGCAGGTCAGTACAAGCCTCGAATTCCTGGCCGTTGACTGTTATTTGGTCTAACATTTACACTAGCATCATGAAAGAATCGCAATAATGTCACCAGCGAGATTTTGACTTCCCCCTTAAGTTCCGTCCATCTCGCTGCAAATAAACATTTCAGGGGATTACACGCTGCTTTGTGCTTTTACACAGAAACGCTGTTAAATTTTTTATTAACAATAACTTTAAGAGCTTTTGGTGAGACCTCAAACCACAGTAACAATCCGTTTTATGACAATGCTTTTACTGAGCTGTGCGTAGATGAAAAATGACAATGATATAAGCTTACGAGTTCTGTTTCCTCTCAGCACTCTGGTACTGTATGTTGGGATGAGAAAGTCAGTTTGCATTGGTTTAGACTACACATCAGCTTCCTTATTATAATTTCCTGTTATGCTTCTCTCATGTAGACTTAACAGAAATGAAAGCTTGAGTGTTTGATCCAAATAGGTCAGAGGAGTAATATTGAAGCTCTCACTCTTGTGTTGGACTCTATAACCTTTTTATACTCTTTTTGTACTTGCTCTGCCCTTGATCTGCAGTGTATACACTATATCATGAATTCACACACAAAAATAGCATCCTTCAAAAGTCCTATTTGGATAGGACTACTTTTCTCTGAGAAGGTTATGTGACTTTGTGTTGTACAGGCTACGTTTTGGATCTCATAAGGGCTTTTCACACCTGAAATAGTTAACCCTGGCTCATTCTAAACCCCAGGTAAACAAAATCCTGGGTTATCTTGCTTCACGTTTCAAACTGCTCATACTTTACCCAGGGTTAACAGTTTATCCTAGGTATTCATAAGCTGATATTTCACACTGTACATTCCTAAACCGTGGGTTAACATTCTTAATTGCATATTTGTGGTGTCAGTGTCATCGATTGGATGAACGCGGCATGCAACATGTTTACTTAATGGCTCTAGCATTGCGCATCCTCTTATTATATATATTGGTGACAGTATTATCAAGCTTTACATTATCTTTATGTGAGATACATTTTAATGTAAAGTATATATTGCCAACAGCATTATCAAGTTTTACAGAATGGACATTTCTGACTATAAAGGTAAAAATGAAACTGTCTTCTTTACTCAAATTGATGCATTTTCTGCCATCATTTGACATTTTCACTCTCAAATGCTGAAACAACTGTTTATACAACGTTTCCGTGCCTGATCAAAGCATGTGAATATGCAGCACGTGATTGATTGTCGGTTGCTAAGCATGTAGCTGTAACATTCTAATGCCCATTTCACACTATACACGTTTGGCACCGAAATGCGGGGTTAACACAGCAAAAACACTGCTTTCATAACACAGGGTTTCCCTGCTTCTAAATTACAAGTATGAAACATACCTTTACCTGGGGTTAAAAGTGGGGTTTAGACTGATGATAACTTAGGGTCAAGCACTATGTGAAACGCCATATACAAATCAAATATTTGTGACCCTTGATCACAAAATGATAAAATCATAAGGGTCAATTTTTCAAAACTGAGATTTATAAATAATCTGAAAGCTGAATAAATAAGCTTTGCATTGATGTATGGTTTGTTAGGATAGGACAATATTTGGCCGAGATACAACTATTTGAAAATCTGGAATCTGAGGGTGCAAAAAAATCTAAATATTGAGAAAATCGCCTTTAAAGTTGTCCAAATGAAGTTCGTAGCAATGCATATTACTAAGTATAATAAAAAAATAAGTTTTAATATATTTACAGTAGGAAATTTGCAAAATATCTTCATGGAACATGATCTTTACTTAATATCCTAATGATTTTTGGCATAAAAGAAAAATCTATAATTTTGACCCATACAATGTATTTTTGGCTATTGCTACAAATATACCCCAGCGACTTAAGACTGGTTTTGTGGTCCAGGGTCACATTTGTCCTCTGACTACCTCTGTAAACATTTTGGAGGAAGTTTTTGTGACTAAAAACAAAGTGGGACTGCAATTTGATCCATCCAAGTTGCTAAATTGATTTCATCATATTCTAGTTAAGAAATTTCAGAAGTTTCAATAGTTAATAATTGTAATTTAGACATCACCTAGAAAATAAATTCTGTCCAAAAGGGCAAAAGACTGAGAGTTTGAAGCCTGTAGAGGTTTTGAGTGACATGAACTCAGTTATAATGTTATAATGGACATAGAGATCATTTCTTGTCTTTTTCTCCCTGCCTCCTGAATAGTTACCGATTTGTTTTCAGATGTTTGGACATGTGATCTGTTGTCAGTAATAGTGCTTGAGCAGCTGTTTATCTCCCTGTCCTGAAATGATGGCTGTTCCATGGCTGGCATTCTCTTTAAGAGAGCTGCTTGTCAGTTGCAAATAAACATGATGATCTGATGCAGCTCATCTTGGTGCTGATGATGCATTACAAGAAATGTTACTTAAAGGTTAGGTATTTGGATCCAGATGTTAGTTTAGAGGTTTCTTGAGAACTCTTATGTGAGATTCAGAATAGATCACAACAATGTCACAAAATGTAGTCATACTTGTTAAAATACAAAAGTTTGTAAACAAAGTCAGATTTCAGTTTTTCATCATTAAAATGCTTTCTTATTCTATCCTATATCTTCTTTAGCTGCAATTAATAGTTGACTTTTGGTTGGAAGTTGTACAGTTTGACCTTCTGAAACTTTAAAAGGAAAGGCAAAGATACACATGCACACAGACATACTCAAATCCCCCCATCATCAGGGAGTTCTTCTCTTAGAATGGGTTTTCCAGAGCCCCAGGTGCTTTCCCCATTTGAAACCTGCTCTAAATCTAATCTCAGCTAGAGACAGCGAGAGCCTGCATTCTAAACTCGCTCGACATGGCCGGCTTACTGCAGGGGTGGGGGGGGGGGGGGCCAAATAGGTCAGAGGAGTAATATTGAAGCTCTCACTCTTGTGTTGGACTCTATAACCTTTTTATACTCTTTTTGTACTTGCTCTGCCCTTGATCTGCAGTGTATACACTATATCATGAATTCACACACAAAAATAGCATCCTTCAAAAGTCCTATTTGGATAGGACTACTTTTCTCTGAGAAGGTTATGTGACTTTGTGTTGTACAGGCTACGTTTTGGATCTCATAAGGGCTTTTCACACCTGAAATAGTTAACCCTGGCTCATTCTAAACCCCAGGTAAACAAAATCCTGGGTTATCTTGCTTCACGTTTCAAACTGCTCATACTTTACCCAGGGTTAACAGTTTATCCTAGGTATTCATAAGCTGATATTTCACACTGTACATTCCTAAACCGTGGGTTAACATTCTTAATTGCATATTTGTGGTGTCAGTGTCATCGATTGGATGAACGCGGCATGCAACATGTTTACTTAATGGCTCTAGCATTGCGCATCCTCTTATTATATATATTGGTGACAGTATTATCAAGCTTTACATTATCTTTATGTGAGATACATTTTAATGTAAAGTATATATTGCCAACAGCATTATCAAGTTTTACAGAATGGACATTTCTGACTATAAAGGTAAAAATGAAACTGTCTTCTTTACTCAAATTGATGCATTTTCTGCCATCATTTGACATTTTCACTCTCAAATGCTGAAACAACTGTTTATACAACGTTTCCGTGCCTGATCAAAGCATGTGAATATGCAGCACGTGATTGATTGTCGGTTGCTAAGCATGTAGCTGTAACATTCTAATGCCCATTTCACACTATACACGTTTGGCACCGAAATGCGGGGTTAACACAGCAAAAACACTGCTTTCATAACACAGGGTTTCCCTGCTTCTAAATTACAAGTATGAAACATACCTTTACCTGGGGTTAAAAGTGGGGTTTAGACTGATGATAACTTAGGGTCAAGCACTATGTGAAACGCCATATACAAATCAAATATTTGTGACCCTTGATCACAAAATGATAAAATCATAAGGGTCAATTTTTCAAAACTGAGATTTATAAATAATCTGAAAGCTGAATAAATAAGCTTTGCATTGATGTATGGTTTGTTAGGATAGGACAATATTTGGCCGAGATACAACTATTTGAAAATCTGGAATCTGAGGGTGCAAAAAAATCTAAATATTGAGAAAATCGCCTTTAAAGTTGTCCAAATGAAGTTCGTAGCAATGCATATTACTAAGTATAATAAAAAAATAAGTTTTAATATATTTACAGTAGGAAATTTGCAAAATATCTTCATGGAACATGATCTTTACTTAATATCCTAATGATTTTTGGCATAAAAGAAAAATCTATAATTTTGACCCATACAATGTATTTTTGGCTATTGCTACAAATATACCCCAGCGACTTAAGACTGGTTTTGTGGTCCAGGGTCACATTTGTCCTCTGACTACCTCTGTAAACATTTTGGAGGAAGTTTTTGTGACTAAAAACAAAGTGGGACTGCAATTTGATCCATCCAAGTTGCTAAATTGATTTCATCATATTCTAGTTAAGAAATTTCAGAAGTTTCAATAGTTAATAATTGTAATTTAGACATCACCTAGAAAATAAATTCTGTCCAAAAGGGCAAAAGACTGAGAGTTTGAAGCCTGTAGAGGTTTTGAGTGACATGAACTCAGTTATAATGTTATAATGGACATAGAGATCATTTCTTGTCTTTTTCTCCCTGCCTCCTGAATAGTTACCGATTTGTTTTCAGATGTTTGGACATGTGATCTGTTGTCAGTAATAGTGCTTGAGCAGCTGTTTATCTCCCTGTCCTGAAATGATGGCTGTTCCATGGCTGGCATTCTCTTTAAGAGAGCTGCTTGTCAGTTGCAAATAAACATGATGATCTGATGCAGCTCATCTTGGTGCATTACAAGCATTACAAGAAATGTTACTTAAAGGTTAGGTATTTGGATCCAGATGTTAGTTTAGAGGTTCTCTTATGTGTCTTATGTGAGATTCAGAATAGATCACAACAATGTCACAAAATGTAGTCATACTTGTTAAAATACAAAAGTTTGTAAACAAAGTCAGATTTCAGTTTTTCATCATTAAAATGCTTTCTTATTCTATCCTATATCTTCTTTAGCTGCAATTAATAGTTGACTTTTGGTTGGAAGTTGTACAGTTTGACCTTCTGAAACTTTAAAAGGAAAGGCAAAGATACACACAAACAGACATACTCAAATCCCCCCATCATCAGGTAGTTCCTCTCTAAGAATGGGTTTTCCAGAGCCCCAGGTGCTTTCCTCATTTGAAACCTGAGCTCTTTTTCTCCTGCTCTAAATCTCATCTCAGCCAGAGAGAGCGAGAGCCTGTGCTCCAAACTCACTCGATATGGCCGGCTTACTGCAGAAGGGGGGAAAAAAACAGGATTCTTTCTCCATAAATAGTCTCCTACATTCTCTTTCTATGAGATAAAGTTTAATGTAAAGTCTTGGTCTCTGGTCTCTGACATTTGATAGCAGCAGATGGTGTTTAAATTGTACGGCCACCTCTGTGTTAGTTTAGCTTAGAGAATTTTTCCTTTATAAATGGTCTCCTACATTGTCTTTGAGATAAAGTTCAATGTAAAGTCTTGTCAGCTGGTCTCTGACATTTGATAGCAGCAGATGGTGTTTAAATTGTACGGCCACCTCTGTGTTAGTCATTCTCTTAGCTTAGACTTGGCTTGTAATAGAACTGTCTAACATTGCAGTCCTTTATCTTAAATTTCACCTCACCTGGGAGAGAGATGGAGTGTATAGGTTTGAGTGTGTTTACTCAGGTCTTTGGATTTGTGTCCAAGAAGAAGTACAACAAATTTTGGGGGCTGATAAGAATAACTGATAATCAGCGTCTTGTTGTGGCTGATGCTGATAATGAAGCTTTGTGGTTTTTCGAAGTAATTAGCTAATTAATTAAAAACTGCCCGCTTGACACCAAATAAACGATTTTAAAGCTCTGAACTTTAGCAATTTTCAAAAAAACTTTATTAATAACAATTAATATAGGCGATATGACCAACACTTCTGAAATAGGATCATAATAATCATAACAGGATTTACTAAGAATATAATACAAATCATATTATGTATTATATATCAATAAAAAGGTCTCAGCTAGTAGAATACAACAAGCATATTAGATTTATTCACATACAGTACCATTTTTTTATGTTTTTGAAAGTAGTGCTCACCAAGGCTGTATTTATTTCATTTAAAATACAACAAAGTATTATTGTGAAATATTAGTAAAATTTAAATTTAATTTTAAGCAGCTCTTACAATTATAAATAATTGTATTTGATTGAATTATCATTCAGAAATAATTATGATATGCTCAAATAAGCATTTCTTATTTTTATCATTGTTGAAAACAAAGTGTGCTGCTTGATATTTTTATGGAACTCATGATGCATAACATTTCTTAAAAAAAAAAAAAAAAA